TAGGTAGTACGACCAAGTGGCAACTCCAATCCCAAATCTAAACATTCGTCTAGTGCGAGACAATACTCTCCAATAGTATTATTGCATATTCTCATATTTCTCGATTATTAGATTTCTGTTACTGTCTATTATTTCTATTATACCGGTTATTTTATTATATACCTTATTGTTACTGTTTCTTTTTATGGATTCTATCCAACCGTTTTTCTTTTTCTTTGTTGTTGTGGTTATACTTATCTTGAGTCGTGGGTCAATTGAAAACATCATATCGCTTTACCTCCACATGGTAAGGGCAAGGTGTATACACTACCTTTCTCAGATCCTACTATATAGAATTACTCTGAGTATATTGTTGTTGTTGACTTTGAATGTTTGATTTCAAATCACAGCTAATTGATGATCTATATGAATGTTCAAAGAGGATATTCAATTATGCGAAGTTGGAAAGAAGTAGGGGTGTCAAATGGGCGGGTTAGGCCGATTATAGGCGGGTCAAAATGGGTTGAGTCAATAAGACTTCCTTTTCTTTTGTTATGATTATATATAACATATCAAAATTAAAAAAATTATTTCTAAGATATTTTGACAAAGTTACTTATGGATCAATTTGAGCTGATTTGGGCTAAAAATCAGTCCAACTTTAAATAAGTTGAGATGAGTTGGATCAAGATCGGCCAATAAATGAGCGGTTAATAACCGGTCCAACCTTAATCGGGTTGTGCTAGTCATTTGGGCCAAATTTGACAGCTCTAGAAAGAAGCATTATGAGTACTACGTTTGAATATAGAGACTTTTGAGCGGTGACAATTTATTAATGTCCTATGCCTTCCCATTCTTCTTTCCAGTATTGTCGTTATAAGACACTAAGAAAATTACTATCAACCTTGTTTTACCACTAATTACTTTGTGAATCTGAATTAGTTAGTTTTAAAGCAGATAGCGAAAACCGGATGAATCCGTGAACTTAATTGTGTGATCACCTCGATGATGGCATCTAGCACTAGGAAAGGATTTTAGGGAGCTTAGAATTTGAAGTTTTTCACTTTGAAAAGGATTTTATGGGTCTTATATTAAGAGAAAGTTTGTAACTAATTCATCAAACTTTTTTATATGGAGAGACATGACTCTAAAAAAAACATTTAGAAGTGCTTAGGTCCTACCATGTCATATTTAGCCGGTTTGACAAAAAAAGAATTACTACTGATGTTGAAGAAAATGAATGGTCTCCAAGAAAATTGCCCATCTTGAATTGAAATGATATGTTTATTTAACAGTAATGCGACATAATGATTAATCTAGAACGCACTCATCACTTGAGTCGTCCTATTTCTCACAAACTTCATCCTAGATTTCAAGACAAAGATTTGATTGTAGAAATTTATTAAGAATGTAGTAGTAGTATTTATTTATTGTGTCTGAAATTAATATAAAATATGAAAGTTGAAAATATAGCTGGCAGCCATGGGTTATTGGTGTATGTACAGCCAAATCGTTTTCTTCTTTTGGGCATGAAACATATAACATGTCATTCTCAAATGAAATAACGCCAATGTCCAATCATTCAATATCGAAGAATGATCTTCGATCCCCTATATTCTTTAAACAATAAGATTAATTAGAGTGACATGTTACATGTTTTGTTTCGAGTCTGAAAATAAAAAAAAAATTTGATAAAGAATATTTCCACTCTAATGGATCTTATGCAACGTGAAACGGAGTAGTCGGGACTCCAAAATGGATATGGGACACCGGCGCTAAACCAAAAAAAGGTTAGAAATAGTTGCACCCTATCCTGTTCCATTATTGTTAGAAGTAGTTGACTTTCACCTGAATTAAAGACATAGTACTTATTAGCAAATTAAACTTACTAGAGGATACCCTAGGTGATCCAAACCATTTTTTAGCATACCCATTACCCACAACAGCTAATTGCAATTTATTAGGCCGCGAGCAGGCATAAAACCTCAAGTCCAAAATCCTAAACCAAATTATTAATCTGTCTGAAGAAAGATCTGTTCTTAAATATTAATGAATGAGTCTTTTAACTAAATTTGTTTGCTACCTGTATTTGGGTTTTCTTGTTATGTTATATTTTTCAAATAGCAGGTTTATAATGCTAAAGTAGGATGGAGCAAACTTCCAAGTTAAGAACCAGCATATACTTACATTTGCAAGTTCCAATTCTTTACCATTTAATACAAAATCAAAAATCTTTTTCATACGTTTTCAATTGTTCAAATCCACTTTGAAGTGCAGAAATCTTGGTCCACTATGTATAAAAAGATAATCAACTCCTAAAGATTATTCAAGAGACATTGTTGTTTCAATATCAACATTCTCATCAATGAGAGAGAGGAAGAAATTTATTAAAAGCTGATATGAAAGTAAAGGCCTTAATTTAGTAATAATAGGTAATAATTATACAAAGAGTTTTAAGTTATACTCACAATCCGTGTAAGAAGTATTTGTTTTGGTCTGGAAAGATTAATTATATTAAAGCAAAGTGGCACGTACATGGGGTTGGCGCTTAGAAGCACCTAAGCTAGTTTCTGGGGCATCACCTAGGTGGGTGACTAAACCCAAAGGGCGCAATATTTAAACTATATATTACAACAAACAGGATCTCGTTGAGTACAAAAAAAGATGATTCTGAGTAGATCTATTTAAAAAGTTGTAGTGGCCGGTGTTCATGACAGGTTGATGTTGTCTAGAGTCCCACTCTATCTTCTGCTAGAACGTCCAAAAAAAGTGATCTATGCTGCTTCCCGTCAAGCCTGAGCCAAAATGAGCTAGTCGTTCTGCTACTATATTTTGCTCCCTGTACCTGTGCATAACTGGTGGATTATATTATGGAGCTAGAAGCTGATGCAGCAAGAATATAATCTGCAATCATTTATAACATGTGAGCAAAGAGTTGTGTTGTCATGTAAAATGTTTATTACTTCTAAAGCATCTGTGTTAATTTCCAAAGGTTGTAGATTGAGATGGAGATGGACAGCCATTTGCAAATTAAAGCTACCAGAAGTTGATGCAGTGGTGGTTCCTGCATATCCCATCACCCAATGTCCAGAGGAATTGCAGAAGACTCAGAGTAGAGTTTCCCAGCATTGCCTTGCATTTTTACATTTGATCAAATAGTTTCTGGCTCTAATTGGCAGAAGTGACATAGGGAACTAGAATATATGTGTGTGTATTATTATTATTTCTTAGGGCCTCAACTTGTCTGGGCTTAAAGCAATGAGTTTGCCTGTTTGGGGTTAAGAAACTTTTAGTACGTAATTAACACAACATGGAAACTAAATAATTACATTCCTTAATGAAAACCTATAAATCTGGACCGAGAATCACGTTCAAAAAAATCCAAATCGATTCAATTCCTTAAAAAACCAAGCTGACGAGATTCACGGAACAAACAATCCTATACGTTTGCTTCCTATTTCTTTGCTAGGTAATATTTTCAAGAGAATAGTTATGTATCATTTTTATACAAAAAATTAAATGTTAATCAACTATCCAAAATTTACTTGCACTTATTGCTCACATTTCATAATCTCTTTGTTCCCATTTACAAAAAAATGAAACTAATATATCTGGAATTTAACATGTATATATAATAATATACATATTGAATCCTGAAATATAACTACATAATCACAATAATATATGTTGTATAAACCATGTGTAAATTATAATAAATTATGTACAAATTATAATAGATAATTATACATGATGTAAATCATGTATAATTACACCAGATAATATACCAAGTATAAACCACACACATATTAATGTTATATTTTATCATAAATTTTTCTGCCATACGTATACATTGATCGTATACTAATATTAATAATAGTGGATAATAAATATATACGTGGAATACATACATCAACAATATTACAATAGCATATAATTATGTATAATGTAAATATACATAGTATAACGATATATTTAATAGTATATAATGTATATTAGTATATATCGTACATTAAGGGTGGCATGTGGGCCGGTTAGGACCGGACCCAGCCCAGGACCGTAAGCCCAAATGGGCGGTAGGCCTAAACGGTCCTAACCGGATAGGACCGGGACCGTGGGGAGGTGTGCTGGATAGTGGGTCGGTCCCATAGGCGAGGCCCGCGAGACCGGGACCAGTTGGGACCGGGACCGGCTGGGAAGTGGGCCGGTTCAAGCGGTCCTAAACGGGCATATCCGGGCCCAACGGCTAATTTTTTTTTAAAAAAGAATCTGCCGCATTATATCCTNAAAAATTTAGGTCACAATTCTATAATATAATTTACAAGAAATTGCCTTAGATATTTTTATTACCTTTTTTTCTCTAATTTCTATAAAAAAACATTTAAAAAATAAAAAGTATATGTTGGGCCCACTTAGGCCCGGGACCATTAGTTCGTGGTCCCGGTCCGATTCCAACAAGAAGCCCGGAACTACTTAGGACCAGGTCCACAAAGCCCACTTAGGACCGGGCACGGCCCACATGCCACCCTTATCATACAATGATGATATTAGTTGTGTATAAATCACAATGCTATTGTAGGTATATCACTGATATATTTTAGCATCTCTTGTTAGTTCCTCTTTATTGTGTCAGTGAAGAACAAAAGCATCTTCGCGAATAATGCAATAATCCTTTTAGAAGAAGATGGCATAAACCAGCGAATTAAGGAGAAATTCTTTGAGATTTTCGGTATTTAGTGAAGATGGAAACGGTTCCTTAAATATTGGGTACTGGTATTTTGTCTTTTAAATGGGGTTCCAATTATAGCGGTAATTAAGGGATTGCAATGTTTTTCCATAATGCTATATCTATAATAAAATATGATATATTTGAAATAAACAAAAAATACTACTAATAGGTATAACAATAATTTTTAAAAAGATAACGTCCGTGTAAAAAATCCAAAAAGAAAAGAGAAAACTAAAGAAATTCACAAATCTTTCCCAGGCAAATCTTTGAAAGAAGTAAAAGGAACTAAGAGGCATAGACAGAATACTGAGCAAATTAAGTATGCTCTGAAATTGAACTCTTAACAAAGACGTTCAAAAAATAGTATCATGGTCAAGAGTCACAAGTTTCAAAATAGTTCCTTGATCCTATCTTTCTGTGCTAAAATTGGTCACTATTTGCTCCTACTACCAATGATCAAATCAATAGTTCATGAATAATGCTTGCGGCCTACGTAGTTGAGTCTAGACCTCCTATTTCTCACAGGATTGAACCACTTGTATTCGCTTGTCGTCTTGGACCTAAGTCTCTTGTATTCTCTTGATCTAAGTGCTGTCTCCATAATCTTTATATCCTCAAAAATCTCATGCCTAGATAGTGTTGCCAAGCTTGGCATAATGTCCCTCTGAAAATCTTTCATTCTCCTTCCTCTCTTCAATGTTATTCCATTGTCCTTTCCTTCTGTGTCGTTAACTTCAAATGCATTTGAGGTTACAGAATAGTCGTCAACTGAGCTTTCAGGTTGTTTGAGAACCATTTCTTCAAAACTGTCCAAAGAACTCTGTGGTTGTTCGATATTTTCACCTTCAATCTTCTTCATCCTGTTAGCGTTACTTGGTTCAGAACATTCCAGTGCAAGATAGACGAGAGACACTGCTCCCCTAATGATCAGACCATCAACTTCTGATGCTTTTCCCTTCAAGTCATCACTGTTACTGGAAGAGTCGACATCCTCCTGGTGCGGAGATTTATTTGCTTTAAGTGTTTCAGAATCTTGAAATGCATTACAGTGGAAGGAACTTGAATTTCCTAACTGAGTTCCAGATTGCATGGTCTCTTCGCCACTTGATGTGTCCTCAAAACAAGAAGATTTGCATGACGAAGGAGATCTGTCAGAACCAGTATCCTTAACAATATCTCGAGTCTTACATTCAGGAGAAGACACTGCATCTTGCTTGGCTTTCTTGCTTTTCATTTCTGGTGTACTTGGAGCTTGATCATCCCTATTGCGAAATTCAACGATCAAGTCTGATTTCTTGTAATCGGAATTCTTAATCGGGCTGCAAGGACTACCACTATTTTTTGAAAGTTGCTGATTGAGGTTTATAGAGTACTGGTCAACTCCAACATTCTCCACACTTTTATAACTGCTGCTGCTTCCAGTCGCAGAATTAAGGATTCTTTGGTGAACAAAAGCAGAGGTCTCATTTGAACTGTTATCATTCCGCTCTCTCCAATTCGAAACATGGGGGAAGGTAGCTCCACGAGGTTCATCAGCCAGTCCGTGTGACTCCCTTGAGTGAAAAGAATCATCAGATATGGATTTGTTAAGGTCCAAAAAAGCTCGTTCATCAGAAAACATAATTTTTCTCTTTGCTGATATATCGTCAGAAATGAGAGGCCCCTCACATTGTTCAGCTCCTGCAAAACATGTAGAGATCAGACAAACACAGAGAGCCATATTATTGATAGTGCTTTGCCTTTTATGTTTGTAGCTGCAAAAGAAGGATAAAGAACTGTCAAACCTTCAGCGAAAGAGTTCTGCTCCACACAACTCGTGCTGCCATCTGGAACGAAATAATTTCTTGGAGTGCCATCAAACCAATAATCCTTAATGGTGTTTGTGAAATTTTGGGTGGATTGGTAATGACGCTTATATCCAGAATAAGAAACTTGAGCTACAGACTTCAGAGGAGACTGGGGCTTTAGTTCTGCATTAGACACTGTTTGGTCTGATTCCTCTAAATCAATAATATTTTTCCAAGTCTTTGTTCGGCCACCTGTTTTAGTATCAGCCAGTGTTTCATCTGATTCTTCTAAATCAATTATATGATTAAAAGTTTTTGTTCTGGCACTTGTTTCCAGATGGTTCCTACCAATGCTCAATGATAGATTAACCTCCTCAGGACAACGTACGACACCACCATGGTAATAATGATTTCTCTCAATTGACTCTAGACTACTGCACAAACCAGGTCTCTTATTCAAGCTCTTTCCGGCAATATGATCAAGATAATGAGGGGAACAAATTTGAGGATTGGAAAGCCGTTGCTGGAAACCTGGAAAGGTGTCTCGTTTCTCTTGTAACCAGTTCAACACCTGAAACACATAAAGAAATATAAGAATAACATAAAGCAAGCTCACGTAAAGCTACATGCTCCCAAGGGATCTTTTTCCCGATTTCTTTATAAGCAAGATAATTTTTCTTCAAATGATCCACTCAAAATCTAGTGGTTAACCAAGAAAGACAGAACCAAAAAGGAGCAAAAACTTGGAAGTACTTATGATGAGTTACAAAAATTGCTTGTTCAATTACCTTAGGGACGCTGCAAATTCTCTTCTCTGCAGGCATGGATGAAGGTCTGATACAATTTCCATATGCAACTGGATTTGCTTGTCGGCCTTCTCTGCTAAAATAAACCCCATCCAACTCTTTCCAGCTCAGATCCTTCATCATGATTTTTTGTGTGTCGTACAGGCGATGAAGTTCATAAACCTAAAGAAATAGAAAAAGTGGATGATAAAGAAAAGAACAGGAATGTCATGATTTTACAAAACTTTTTTAAGAATTAGGCTACTTTCATTTTGAGGTCTCAAACAAAATATGTAGTAGGTATAATTAAGTACCTGCTTCTTGAACGTGTATTCTTGCCTGAGTATTGTCTCCTTGAGAGCTTCTTTCACAGGTTCCTCATACCGCAATGATAAACTCAGATCATAGTCGCTGCTAACCAACATTATGTTCTCCCAAGAAATGAGACCTTAATCAGCTGTTCGATTGAGTTTTGCAAGTTTATGGTACTGTCAACTGTAGCAGGGACCTCTTACATTGCAACCTCAATCCTTTAGTTGCATGCTGTCACCACTTAAAATCAAAAAAGGTAGAAGATGAAGCAGAAGAAAAGGCCAATTGTGAGATAGCTTTTCACCTATAATGTATACCAACGAATGAACACATTGTATAATCCATACCTATTACACACAATGGGAGAAATTCAAGCATAAAGAAGCTGAAGAAGTTGCTACAGTTGAAATAACAAGGAACAATAGATGTTGTACAACATAAAAATCTCACAATTTTCACAGTCAACGCTGCTAGGTCTCAGTTCCTTCATTACATTACATCATTTTTTAAGAATCCAGTTGGTTCCTCTTTTATTGAGTAACTAATATCCCAAGAATCCACTGCAAATAGATTTATATGATCCCAAACTAGCACTTCTTGGATGAGTAGCTAGCCTAGTTCAAGATCAGATAAGCAACACATGCTGAAACCGGTAAAATCTCTCTGCATTTTTTGTGATCTGCTTCTACTTACCAAAATCACTCACTTAGCATTACCAGAGATCCATGTGCTAAAACCCAATACGAGTTCGCAATCCATAATGCAGTATCATGCCAAAATTGATAAATTCTAGTGTAATTTGCTCTACTCTCAATCATAAACAGTAAAGAACAAAACTGCAGGCTGAAATGGCATTTTCTTAATCCAACTGTAAAAGATGACATTTTTATTCAGCTGGCCAAACAGTTGAGTAATCAGCTAATGAGTACAAACAGAACACTTCAGAAAAAACAATGTATTACTGCCCTAGTCTTGTGAGCTCAATCATTATTGCTTCCTTAATCTTGTCCTTTTCTTATATTTTATTTTTTTTAACTGTAATAGAATAAAAGTACACAAAGAAAACTAATCTATGAGACAGATAAATAGTCCCAGGCTAAAACAATGAAATGGCGAAGATTTAAGACCACAAAAAGATTGTCTTTTGTTTTCTTTCTTTTAGAAGAAAATTTGCAAAGAACCCATGAAAACTACACTATACTGGAGCTTAATGCTTATGATACATGTAAAGCTTTTGACCAACACCATTAAGGAACTGCATGCAAGCAAAGCACATAAACAGAAAAATAAAATAAATATATATATATTTATAAGAAATCAATTAAAACAAAAACAAATCACAATCCTTACAACAGACATTGAATCTCAAGAAAACCATTTTGACAAGGAGATCTCACTCTCTCTCACACACAACACACACACACACAGAGAAAGAGAGAGAGAGAGTGGAAGAACTTACAAGAAGGGAAGAGACCAACATAACTTCCATTTAGAAAAAACAGCTTCTTTGTTAACCACTCTTGTTGTTTGCACATTATCAGAAACAAAGGCAGGCAAGAATTCCAGGAAGGTGAAAGAATAAAACATGAAAGAACATGACATGTTTTGACTGATCCTAGAGCGATCAAATTAAATGCAGCTGGATAATGGATATTTACATTACACTACTGACTACCCACCCACAATTAATAAACACAGAGAAAGAGGACAAAAAAATCAAGATTATAGAGAGTGAAGAAACCCAAATTGAAGAAACTAGGAAAAATGGGGAGCATCTTTGGAGGCAGCTAAAAAGCTAAAGGTTGTGCCTTTGCGTGGGATTTACCACTAGAATAGACGTTGGGCCTATATCATCCATAAATACCCCCCCTTCTCTTTCTTTCTCAATTTTCTTTTCAGTTTTTTGGGACACCACTCTCTTTATGTTCCTCTTAACCACTCCCCCCACACAAACTTTGGGCCCTCTTTTTTCTCCAGCCAAAATATAAAAATAAAAACAAAAACAAAAACTTTCTCTTGACATAAAGTTTTAAAAAAATAAAAATAATTGACAGATAAGCTACATATATGTGAACGACCAAACATTATCGTTACTAATTAAATGAGATGTGGTGAAAACTTCACACGCCTTTCATGCTTTTTCTCCTACTACTTGTTTTAGGGTTACGTGCGTGTCTTCATTGAGAATGTAGACTTTTTTTGAAACTATATAAATATTATCAAAGAATATATTTGAGTTATAAAAATATTTAAAAAAAATTAAGTCCTGAAAAATAAATTCTAATATTATTAAACTAACTCAGTCTACCTCATAAAAGTGCTCATGATGTTATCCAAAATTTAGCCGCATTCGTACAAGAGATATAAGTACCAATAGAATACTATGGTGTCACATTTTCTTCCGTAACAAATGACCAAATATTTATTATATATTTTTATCATGAATTTTCAGAGAGTCATCTAATTAACACAAATTAAAAATATATATATCTTTCTTTTAAAAATTCAGAATAAAGTGGTTGGTCATATAGTTTTTAGAAAAAAGGATCATTAAGTGACAGTATAAAGTCTGAAAATGACTAATGTTGAGGGAATATTTTATAACAAATTACTAATGTATAAAAAATTACAGAGGGCTATTTGTTGGAATTGATGAAAAAAGAAAATAATATATTTAATATCAACTAATTTTGTATCCATTTTGTCTTCTATCCTTTTATTCTTGTTTCTTCTAATTTAAAATTTTAACCAAGTCAACTTTACTAATATATTGAAATCGGTTTTGATCTATTTTTTGATTTCTTTCATCACTGGTGGTTTATGTAGCCGACAAAAAGTCATGTCATCTTGAATTTTTTTTTTACTTTATGATGAATTTGAAAAAGATTTGAATTAGATTTTATTGCTAATTTATTACTTCAAGTACTTTATTTTTTCTCAAAATAACATAAGTTATTTTTGTTGATTCAAATTCGTCATAGTAGCTCATAATAAATTTAAATGTTTGATTATTATTATATTTTAATTCAATAAGAATTTTTCATCAAGAATCACTATATGAGAGGAATAAAATTTAAAAATTGAGTTCACTTTAAAAATCGCAATTACTTTTTGTATTTAAAAATCCATTTATATTCATCTAAATGTATCATTAATTAAAAACTAAAATATCTCTTAAATTATCTTGTTGGAATAATTGATAAAATATATGTTTATTAATGATTTGGTCAACATTTCAATTAATTGTACTTCATTTATAAATTTTGAAAGTTAATAATATAATATAAATTTTTTTTTTTTATTAAATAGTCATGTGTATTTATTTTAATGTAAAAAGAATTGCATATAAATGAAAACGTAAGAAAGTTATTAAAATGTGGACCGCTATTATCTAAGAACCCGTTTGTCCTCTCTTTAAACTTTTTATTCTTTCCTTTATGTATTTTGTTTATCATTTATATATAATTTAAGTGTAAGATTTACATAATGCAAACTCTTAATATTTTTAAAGTTTTTGGACTTTTTACATAGTTTAGATTAAAAAAATATAATAAGCAAAATTGTAGTTAATTTTAAACTCCTAAGCCTAGATATGTATAAAGTACTCTTAATATTTTCAAAGTTCTAAATAGTAGGACTTTCTGCAGAGTTCAAAAAAGAATTTTTTTAATTTTAATTAAATTTTAAACTCCTAAATATTAGGAAAATAATTAAATAAATATTCAATGAAATATTTTTAGTAACTAACACATATTTAAGGTACTACAAATTTTGTTTTTATTTATAAATATCAAGGTTTAGATGAGATAAATAGTCGTTAGTTTTAAGTTCTAAAAGGTAAGCATTTATTCATTGATAGTAGTATTTTATTGGTACCGTTGAATTAATGTAATAGATAGTGTATCTCTTGCTAATGAAAGGTAGGGGAGAAAAACGCAGCAAAAGTATGTCGTTGATTTTTTTCTTTCTTTTTAATGATTCATATAAGGTAAAAGTTTAATTATTAAGTCCTAAATATTAAGATTCTTACCTAGTTTAAATAAGGAATTATTTAATACACAAAATATAATTAATTTTCAAGTCCTAAATATTTGTAAAATAATTTAAATGACTATTTTGTCCAGTATAAAATTAAATTTAAAGCGTTAAAAAGACGAACGACAATTCGCTAAGGCTTTCGTGCTTTTAATAAAATATAGATTAAAATGTGAAGTTTTAACTCACGGATAAGTCGTGTCACCAAAAATAAAATGAGAATAATAAGATTATATAAGTTTAAATTCTGAATTCGGAAATGTAACATTATTTTGAAACAGACAAAGAGGGAAAAAGTATCACATAAAGTATGATGTAGGAGTATTTGTTAAGATCTACATTGAAAGTCATTAATGAAAACATAATATATACGAATATGTAGTTTTTTGCATGACTAATAATGAAACGAATGTTAAAATAAGTTGGAATTGGAATAGAAAGTAAAAATATAATATCTAAAAGTTCAGGGACTGTGGATGTCTGCAAAGTACACTTGCTATTGATTTTCTTGGTTCAGTGTGATAAAAGAAGCAGATCAGTTTAGGGAGGGACCCTTCTACAAAAAGTGCCAAAAAGTGGCCAATTGACTGACTGACTGACTATTACTACTAAGTAAATAATACGTTAATTTACCTTTTCGCCCCTATACTAGTTTTAAAATACCTGACTTCTCCTTGCTTCTTCGTTCCTTTTTCTTTTGTAATCTTCTGCTTTGAGCCCAACTAATCTGAACTCAGTTCAAAAGTTTCATTTCGAAGAAAAAAAAATGTTTTACCTAAGACGATTTATTATTTAGGACTCGAATTTAAAATAGAAAATTAGGATAATAGGTTAGTAGGTACTCGAGTGTATTTCTTTGTCATACTTGTAGTATCAATATTATTCTCCTACTTTCTTATACTTAGATTTCTAATACTATCGATTGTTTCTTTTGCTTCGATTTTCTTTTAACTTGCAATTGTTGATGTTTTTTTTTTTCCGATGGCTTCTCCATTATATTTATTTTCAACAATGTTGTGATTATACTTCTCATTAGATTTCTATCGGAAACAGTTTTTCAACAGAAATAAGATCTTTGTACGCATTATCATTCTCATACTCAACTTATGAAATTACACTGTATTTGTTGTTGTTATTAGGGGTGTACATATGTCGGGTTTGTTCGGATTTTTCAATTATCAAACCAAACCAATGGTGTCGGATTTTTAAATTTATAAACCAAATAAAACCAACAAAATTGGGTTTTTCAATCTCGATTTTTCTCGGGTTTTCGGATTTTTTCGGGATTTTCGGATTTTTAGATTTTTTTCCAGTAAAATTTTCATAGCATAAAATATGTAACTTGTGCTCTAAATATTTCTTAAGTCTTAGTAAAATACAACTATATAATGTATTTTCCAAGAAACTAACACAATAATATGAGATAAGCCATAGCATTATACTAAACTATTCAATAACAAATATAAAATAATAAAATTATATAAAATAAATATTACTAATTAATAAGCGATAATGAAAATTAACATAATCTAAAAATACTATATAGGTCATGCTAAAATAAGTATAGCTAATAAGTACTAATATTAATTACATAACTAAGCACTAAAGAAAAAAATAAACTAAGTTATGCATTTTCATTATAAACCAATGTAAAACTAAAATAATTATCCAACATTGTTGTCATTCCTAGTATTAAATTGAATTTCTTTTGTTAGCATTAGTATTGATTTGAACTTTGTTTGAGTTACTATATTTATGGGCTTTAAAATTTATTTACCATTCAAGAAAGTTAAAAACTTGAAATAATACGTTAAAAGATAAAACTGTGAAAAAGTTTAAGAAATATTTATAAATTACATTACAATAAATATTTATATGTATAAAATATTTTTAAAATTTATATAAATGTACTATCGGGTTGGTTTGGTTTCGCTTTGACTTTTTTAGTTAAAACCAAACCAAACTAATTATGGTCGGGTTTTATTTTTCAATACCAAACCAAACCACATCGGATTTTTTTTTTCCGATTTGACTCGAATTATCGGTTTGGTGCGATTTATCGGTTTTCTTTGTACACCACCAGTTGTTATCATCACCATTCCATTACAACTAGGGGTGTCAATAGACATTCGAAAATCGACTAAACCGACCGAACTGTACCACACCGAACCGATTTTTAGGTTTCTTTTTAAGAAACCATAGGTTTTTATATACATCTATAACCACACCGATAATTAGGGTAAGTTTTTTATTTTATAAAAATAAACCGAAAAAATAACGAACCGTAACGAATAACTATTACATGTGAAAAATATATTTTTTCAGTAAGTTTAAAAATAATAATGCATTAAATTTTTCTTTGGGACTTGGAATTATGAAAATTATTACAAGCCAAAAGTAATTAAACTC